TTTTTTGGAGATGCGATTAGCTATTTTTCGACCCTTGTTTGGTTCGTATCTACCTTATACATCAGGATAGAAGGCTGAAACTTTTATCACGTGCGTCCTATCCCAGGCCCAACATATCCTCAAAATATCAGCCTGTTTGAATGTTCCTGGGCTGAGATTAGTTTTTGAGGGGAGGGGACCTTAAATCGTTATTCAAATAAAAATTAAACAAAATTTTATTTAGGTCACCTTGACATTCAATATATCATTACAAAATTATTAAAATACAATTCTGATAAAAGACAGAAAGGATCTCCAGGCCATCATAACCTTTACATATAGGATTAAACAAATCTATTATCCGGTTGTCAGCTAACCGATATTCTTGGTATAATATGTAAGGTGGAGATTGATCTGTTTTAATTTGATTTTGGAACTTACTATTTTAAAGTAAATTACAACTGATTTTACATAATTTATTTTCAGAGTGATATTAATCATATCACACCATAATACGTCTCTTAACAAAATAATCATTATCAAAAATATACTTAGTAGCAGATTGGTTTTTATTTCGTAAAATAAAAGTTGACCTGTTTTGATCTGCAATTTACATTATAATGATCCTTATATTTTTTGAATGTTATTATTAAATATATATTTTTGAATTATTTTCTTTGATATGAATTATTTTACTTTACTTGAAATTTGAAATATATCAATCAATTAAAAGTAAGAATTCATAATAAAAGTTTTATAGTTCTTAAAATTTGAAGTTGGTCTATTATTATATATTTTAATTTAAATCAAATTTTGTTGATTCCGTTTACTTTATCGATATTTGATATTAAAAACTAAATTATAGTGATAATTTTAATTATTTAATAATTTATTTTATAAAAATTATAATTTAAATAAATAAATTTAAATTCAAATGTATATCGGAAGAACAGCCTTCTTACGAAAGAAGTCTTCTTAAAGAAACATGAAACGCGTTGGCGAAATAATTTATCTGCATTATCGTTTATTATTTTATTTGAAGCACATTTACTTTATTTTATTTTATTTAAAAATAATAGTTGGCAGATAATCGGTTGCTGAAAAGCAAAAGTCAACACTAGCAGATTGATTTTTACTTCGTGAAATAGAAGTTGATCTGTTTTGATTTGATTTCACAGGTTACTATATATTTTACCATTCGACTTATTATAAGTTGAACAGCGTAAAAATGCATCTCGAATTGATTCGAATATGAAATGTTCTATTTTCGAATTTGTAATCGACTTAGAGAGACTAAGCCACCTGATGAGACTATCTAAGCAATAGTCGAAACGCGTTGTGGTAGCTTCTAAACACCCACACGCACCCTCTGAAAAAAAAAACATCTATCATCCATCCGGATTCAAGTTTTGAATCAACAAGCGTGCAAGATAAACTGAACATGAACAATGTCAAATACTAACAAGCAGAAAATGAACCCTCCTTTTCCATTCATCTTTCACAATGAGAAACAATTAAATAGTTCAATAAAGATTTTGTCTAAATCCAGAAACATTATAATCAAATGAAGAATAGAAAAATACAAAAGTAAGAGATCTCAAAGGCTAACAAGTCTGCAACAGAATATTTAAGCTGTCAGTTTCGTTATTCACGACCACAATATCTAATTTTTTGTCATTGTTGAAGTCTGCAATGGTAATGGAAAATGGATTGGATCCATAGTCCAATGGAAATGGAATAATACTTGCAAATGTGCCATCACGGTATCCCAATAATATACCTAGACTGTTGTTCTTATAAATCGCGATGATAATGTCCTGTATAGTGTCATTATTCATATCGCTTACAGCTAGAGAATATCGGGACGAACTTGAACCTATTGAATACGGTATCACATTTCTAAAAGAGCCGTTGCCATATCCAAAGACAACACCAATATTTTCCGAGGCACAACTGACAAAAACGATATCTACTTGAGTATCATTGTTGAAATCGCTTACGGCCATAGCACAAGGAAATAAGTACGGATGAGTTGAATATGTAACTTGATTTGTGAAAGATATGTTTCCATATCCAAGAAAAACACCAACACTAGCAGTAAGTGAATTGACGACACCAATATCCATTAGACCATCATTGTTCAAATCGCTTATTACTAGTGACTGAGGTCGAGAACCATTTCCAGTTACTAGCGTCATTTGCTTTACAAAAACTATATGATCATAGCCAAGGAGAACACTCACATCATTCCTAGCAGAATTGACAACAACGATATCTGGTCGAGTGTCATTATTAAAATCACCAACAGCTATAGAACATGGACGAGGGCCAACCGAATATTTTGTTTCTTCTGTAAAAGAACCGTTCTCATATCCAAGAAGAATACTCACATCATTGCTACCAGAATTGGCGACAACGATATCTAGCCATGTATCGTTATTGAAATCACCAATAGCTATAGAATATGGTTCAAAACCAACTGAATATCTTGTTTCTTCTGTAAAAGAACCGTTCTCATATCCAAGAAGGACACTCACATCACTACTATAACGATTGGCGACAGCGATATCTAGTTGAGTATCATTATTGAAATCACCAATAGCTACATATGTGGGACGAGAGCCAACGGAATATCTTGTTTGTTTTGTAAAGGAACCGTTCTCATAACCAAAAAGAATACTCACATCATCACTACCATAATTGGCAACAACGATATCTAGTCGATTATCATTATTGAAATCACCAATAGCTACGGAACATGGTGCAGAACCAACTGAATATATTTTTCCTTTTGTAAAAGAACTATTCTTATAACCAAAAAGGATTCTCACATCATTGCTAGCTTCATTGGCGACAACGATATCTAGTCGGGTATCGTTGTTGAAATCACCAACAGCTACAGAGCGTGGATTAGAGCCAACTGAATATCTTTTTTCTTTTGTAAAAGAACCGTTCTCATAACCAAAAAGGATACTCACATCATCACCACCATAATTGGCGACAACGATATCCAGTCGATTATCATTATTCAAATCACCAATAGCTACAGATGATGGATTAGTGCCAACTGAATATCTTGTTTCATTTGTAAAAGAACCGTTCTCATGTCCAAAAAGGATACTCACATCATAACTCCAATAATTGGCGACAACAATATCTAGCCATGTATCGTTATTGAAATCACCAATAGCTACAGCTTGTGGATAAGTGCCAACCGAATATCTTGTTTCTTGTGTAAAAGAACCAAGATTGTATGGAACAAAGATATCTACATTGTCCCTTCCGTCGTAGATGACAGCGATTTCCGATCGTTTGTCATTATTAAAATCACCAGAAACCACAGCTAACGAACGAAAATCAAAGCTAATTCCTCCATTACTTTGACTTCCAAATGTTCCGTTTCCATTACCTAAAATCATACCAACTTGCCTTGTACCATAATTAACTATAGCGATGTCTATTAAATTGTCACCATTAAAGTCGCCAAGTGTAATCGAGTTTGGATGAGAATTGGGACCAGTGATAAGCATCATTTGATTTTTGAAACTGCCATTTCCATATCCAAAAAGGACACCTACATTATCAGTACCGTAATTAGCCAAAACGATATCCATATTAGCGTCATTATTCAAATCACCAATCACTATACATTGTAGGCTAGACCCACCGCCAGATGCATAGGCCATTTCATATGCTATTGCTCCTCTGTTATATTGCAGCAGGACACTCACATCATTGCTATCTTCATTGGCGACAACGAGATCTAGCCGGGTATCGTTGTTGAAATCACCAATAGCTACAGATACGGGAGAATGGCCAACTGAATATCTTTTTTCTTTTGTAAAAGAACCGTTCTCATATCCAAGGAGCACATTCAGATCATCGCTATAGTAATTGACCACAACGATATCTAGTCGGCTATCGTTATTGAAATCACCAGTAGCTACAGATGATGGACTAGTGCCAACTGAATATCTTGTTTCATTTGTAAAAGAACCGTTCTCATGTCCAAGAAGGATACTCACATCATTGCTCAAATAATTGGCGACAACGATATCTAGTCGAGTATCGTTATTGAAATCACTAATAACTACGGAAAATGGCCAAGAGCCAACTGTATATCTTGTTTCATTTTTAAAATAACCATTCCCATATCCAAGAAGCACAGTCACATAATCGTTATCGTCATTGGCGATAACGATATCTAGTCGATTGTCATTATTGAAATCACCAATAGCTACAGATGTGGGATAATAGCCAGCTGAATATCTTTTTCCTTTTCTAAAAGAACCGTTCCCATATCCAAGAAGAATACTCACATCATTGCTGTAAAAATTGGAGACAATGATATCTAATCGAGTGTCATTATTGACATCACCAATAGCTACAGAATGCGGACCAGAGCCAACTGAATATCTTGTTTCTTTTCTAAAAGAACCATTCTTATATCCAAGAAGAACACTCACATCATTGCTACCATTATTGGCGACAATGATATCTAGTCGAGTATCGTTATTGACATCACCAATAGCGACGAAGAATGGTTCAGAACCAACTGAATATCTTTTCTCTTTTGTAAAAGAACCGTTCCCATAACCAAAAAGGATACTCACATCATCAGTACCATAATTGGCGACAACGATATCTAGTCGATTGTCTTTATTGAAATCACTAACAGCTACAGAGCGTGGCCAATAGCCAACGGAATATCTTGTTTCATTGGGAAAGCCTTCATACCGACCAAGAAAAATATCTATGCTACCAGTATCGTTGTTTACAACAATGACGTCTAATCGATGGTCCTTGTTGAGATCGCCAATGGCAAGACAAATCGAGGAAGAAGATCTGGTTGAATACATAATTGGATTTTCAAAGGCACCGTTTCCATATCCAAGAAGTACACCTATATTTTCAATGCCATTATTAGTGATGACAATGTCTAATCGATGGTCTTGGTTGAAGTCTCCGACGCCAATTGCATATGGAGAAGCCGTACTAATGGTATAAGTGACTTGGCTGGCAAAAGTTTGATTGCCATTGTTTATAAGTACACCTACTTGGTGAGTTCCAGAATTCGTGATAGCTATATCGAGAAAGTTGTCAGCATTGAAGTCGTCGACCACAATGGAGTATGGATGAGAATCTAAACCAGTTGAAAACGTTGTTTGTTTTGCAAAAGTCTTGTTGCCGTTTCCAAAAAGTATACCAATATTATTCGTGCCATAGTTGGCAATGGCGAGGTCTAAACAATTGTCTTTATTGAAATCTCCAGCAGCTAATGCGGATGGACGAGAATCATAACCTGTTGAATACGTAATTGGAAGCGAAAAAGTTTCGTTAGCATATCCATAGAATATACTAACACTGTGAGTTCCATAATTGGCAGTAGCAATATCAAGTAGTGAGTCATTATTGAAATCAACAGCAATAATTGCTATCGGATGAGATGAACCTGTTGAAAACTCTATTTGCTTTGCAAAAGACCCATTCCCAAATCCTTGAAAGATGCTAATATAGTTAGTGCCAAAATTCGCTACTGCAATATCTAATCGCTTGTCATTGTTGAAATCAGCAACGGTAACCATGTAAGGACTAGAGTAGGAACCTGTTGAATACATAGTTGGATCTCTAAAACTGCCATCACCATTTCCCAAATACACAGCTATATTGTTTACTATATGATTGGCAACAACCATATCCAACACAGTGTCATTATCAAAATCACCGATGGCAACCGAGTGTGGACCATACTTATATTCAACTGGTTTTTGAGCTGTTGATTTGAAATTGAGATGGCACTTTGGAACTAGACGATACATTAGAAAAGAATGAGATAGGTGATTGTTTGCTCCAGTAGAACTTTTCGTCCTAAATTGTTTTGAATCATCACAATTACTATCGTATGCTGTCAGAAATTGTCGCATAATTCTTTTTAGAGGTCAATACATAATCATCATATTTCAAAAGAACTCTGCTTAATTTCTTCGAATTCAGATAAAGTTAAATATGAAAATTCATCAATCAAACGACTTGTCTGTTCTCATCTTCGCACTTACGATAGAATTCGTTGAAAATCTGTGTTGTGTCAGACTGTTTCAGAGCCAAACGGAAATCAGAACTGTTTTGTTGTGTAATGCTCCTAATGATCCGATCGGTATTTTGGATTAAAAATTTTAAAATAACAAACAGAATATAACAAAGTCTGCTACGAATACTGGAGAATAATAATGGACATAATTGTGACGACCGAGAATCGAATCTAAATCTACTGATTGACAAACCATGGGTGAATATGATCTCCCATAGTCAGTGTATTTGTCAGTGACTTCGTCATATGGACAACACATGTTCACAGATCTTACTTACAGGATAATTTGTCTGATTTCAGATTTAATAATACTTTGAAGTTGTTTTAAGGTTTGCTTCTTTTTACTATCGAGGGGTATAAAAGAAAGTAAAATAGAAATGCATCTACTATCTGTTCACTTTGCAAAAGTAGTCGACCACTAGTGAGCTATCAGCCAGAAAGAAGCAGTATTATATAACGAGTATAAAAAAATTACTTGTTTGAACCGTGGTGATGAAAATAATTCGTTAGAATGTGATAAAGATGTGAGAACTCAGTGATGAATGCGACACAAAACACATATGAGTCACATAGAAAGACTAAAAGAAAACTACTGTATCAAAATGCTTTAGCAGAATGAAAGAAGATATCAATGGAAGATATATACTCTCTGCTCTCTACTGCAGGCAATATCAAGTTAGAAAATATAAAGAGGATATGTTCTGTGAAGAAGAACCATTCACTTTCATACAATCGATAACAAAATCACTTCTATCTTCTCTTCTTCTTTCGCATTTCTATTATATCCAAAAATATATCGATGAGATACAGAAAAAGACATCTAAGATTAACTGCTATTTTCATTCAGAGATGTGAAAGAGTATCCCAAAAACAATAGAAACAGGGATTTAAGAACATTGAATTCGGTAAGGTTGATCTTTCTGTAACAAGTGACAATGTTTAACATCCACTTGTAAAAGATCAGATTGTGAAATTCTTGTTTTCGGAGATAAAAAAAAAGATAGTACAAAACACAATGATCACTATCTTACGAGGGAACATTCCCAAGTGATACTCACCGTTTGAATTCATATTGTGTCCTCAAGTAGATCTCAGTAAGATTAGAGAAAGTCTAGAACGGTTCGTGTCATTGCATCTTTGAAGCTGAGTTATACCCGTTTTCTTTGATTTTCGACCCACTTTAAGACATTGACAGGAAAATCAAATACCGGAATTTTGAGCTAAAATTTCACCCATTGATAGGTTTAATCACTCTTAGAATATTCTAAAAATTTCAGTCGAAAAGAATGTTTCTTTGTCGAGATATTGAATATTGAAGTAAGCTCAATTTTTGTGAAATATATCTGAGAAACGACTATTTGTCGAAAATTCAAACTCTCGACAAAGAAACATTCTTTTCAACTGAAATTTTTGGATATTTCAAGGATGATTATATCTATCTATGTACGAAGTTCGGGTAAAAACACAGGTATTCGATTTTCCAGTCAATACCTTAAAATGGATCGAAAATCAAGTAAAACGGGTATAACTCGTATCTAAAAGCGCAATGGCACGAACCCTTTTAGGTTTCCTCTAACCCCACTGGGATCTACTTGTGCACAAAATATGAGCTCAAGTGGTGCGTATCACTGGGAAATGTTCCCTCGTTAGAGAAACTTATTATTCTGCTTTCTTTAGAAAAAAAATAGTAAGCAGATGATTCTTTCTGAAATTCATTTCTAATCTGTAATCTTTGCTAATAAGTAAAATTTAACTGAAAAAATGAAGCAAGTTAATGTTTATAATTGTGTCCTTGTTTCATGATTTCCTTCAAACATGTCGAAATCAAATATCTTATAACAATTCAATTTTTCTTTTAACCAAAACTCAGAATACTGATAAAACAGAACCAAATTAACTATTGATTTCTGTCGTATGACATACGACGAATACAAAGCAATAAGTACGTACCTGGTGTTTTTGGTACAGTAAAACAAACTAACAGTATACCTATGATCGTAAGTATACTGGTAATCATAGGCAATACAAAGATAGGTTTGGGTATAAAATCCAACATTAACCAGTAAAAATATTTCCTAGGAAAGAGCAACAACGATAATACTTTACATTAAAAGAAAAAATCATACATAGTCTGTCGAAACGTGTAATTTTTTATTCGATTGATAGATTTTTTCTGAACTTCTCTTGCATCTTGTGCATTTGCCATTGTCTTTTGCTTGTGATTGGAACTGACTAATCTGCTTTTCTTCTCAAATGAAGGCATAATTGCTTCAGTATCATCATACATGCTTACCATTTCAATCTGAAAAACGACAGTAGTTAAGTAAGAGCATATACCTGACATGAGCATACAAATAGATCTCTAGCTATGGAGAGTTTCTACAGAAAACCGTTTCTGTAGTATGTCTGCTTAATCTGTTCAGTCGATATACGTACTAGGATACAGTTTTTCTGTGCCATTTCAACAATTTTTCAACTATTAAATATATGTATTATTATTAATATGGTTATCAAAGCTGTTGCTTCGAATGTTTCTTTAACGAACTAACACTTATTCAGTTTTTGTTGAATTTTGTCAAAAGTAACACATTATTTTTTTTATATTTTCAATTCTCTTACACAGACATTTTCAGATGTATGATCTTCAGCATGTTTTTTGAAGCAATAATTTATAAAACATGCTAGCAGAATTGCAGATCCGTTGAAGCATGATTAAGACAGTTCGATCAGCATTTAAAAAATTGCTACTTAGGCAAGTAGAAATTTCGTAGAACGTTTTCCCTCTTCGGGAAACATGAAATCTTATATGAACGTTTTAAAATAGAATATGAATATTTTCTAAGAGAGCTATTTCCAGTTTTATCTATGTTTTCACATATTTGGGTGATATATATTTGTTCGACATCAGAACATGATGATTCGATAATTTTCTGACGAAACTATATCCCACTTAGATGAAATGGCCTAAGAAAATGTGTTTGTCTCCATCTCTCTTCTAGAGTTACAATGTTTTTGGATACACTGTTCAATGACATTGAAGTAGCATCAAAATCAAATGATCGAGTTCATATTTTCAATAATGTTTATGAGTAAACATCCGTTCCAATAATTAGTTAGAAAAGTGTGACTTATATCAATTAGTACATCCAGAGGAAAGGGATGATCACTTTCAAATGTATGAAAAAATTTTCTACGGATAGCGACCATTTTTCAACTGATATCTGAAAACTTTGTCAAGTGTAACCAAGAAACAGCTCAATTCCTTATTATTTCTCGTCTTTCGCAAGTATTGCTGATGGCTACATCAGCTCTGAGGTATTATATCATTAGTGACACTTATAATATGATTATAATGTCCGAAAAATGTGTGAGATCATCGAAAATGGCGTATTTTGAACTATTGCCTGCAGAGAAATTATTATTCAGTGAGTTTTTGAAAACTTAATACACAAATACTCAAAGCATCATAATCGGTATTACCCGTAAGAAGCAAACATCGCATAAACTATAGTATCTGAGAAAAATCTCATCGATAATGTTTTTCTGGATTAGCAAGCGATTCTTCTTTCATCTGTATATATCTTATCGAATGATATCAAAGTATTTCTTTAATTATATTTCCAGGAAGCCTCGAGTGACAATATATCTGTTAGTTTCTTCCTGTTTTGTCACGTCTTCGAGAAATCTTATACTTTCATTGAAACGACGACAACAGCTGATTCTCAGCAATTCCTTTTAGATTCCAAACTTATTCACATTGACAGTGAGTATTCCACTTATTCCTTCAGATATGTTCTGTTCGATTTATCTCTATTATCATACATAAAAAGAAATTCTAGATTTTACTGTCTACTATGTCAAAGTATGTCTACTGAGAAAGTTGGTTTTCGTGTTAACCGTAGATCTTGAATTAGGATCATAGAAAATATTCTAAAGTATTCTATTCCTATGTGAACATATATGCGTAAGGATTTTCGAATAAAAGTACCTGCCAGTACCATCTGTTTTGATCTATGTCGCGAGTCTACAGAGTATCCTAACAGTCTAGTTAAAAAGAAACTTGGATACTTTTTGAACATTGAAAACAGTGTTTATGGGCTTTGGATAACTTTCTTTCACATTCATTCATGTATAATTTCATGCCAGGTTTGCTTCTGATAGATGTACAAAATCACTAGTCACATATGTAATCTATACAATTATCGTTTTAGAAAAGTATATAAAACATCCTATAAAATTTATTTCTATCTTAATATTCCCATGTCGTCGAGTTTCCACCAGAATTGACGGTTGACTGCGGTTCTCTAAAATATTAATGGTTTGAACAGTTTTCTGATTTCTTTTATCGAGTTTTTATAAATTCGCTTCTCATTTTTAATCTTGAATTGATTATGTAATTTTTAAAAACGAGGCAATTTTTTGGCATTATCTTTAATAAAAAGTCAAACTCTAGGACTAAGCGAAGTTAACTAACGTCACCAATACCAGTGGCTTCGATGCAGTTACACTTAGGGGTCGGCAGTTACCGTTCCCAGACCGTTACCCGGTAACGGTAACGGTAACGGTTCCTATGGAAGGAGTTACTAGTTACTCGGGTAACTGGTAACGGGACCGTTACCAGTTACTTTTTCCTGGTAACTTTTAAAAAAAGACTATATATCACTTTTATTAGACCGAATATTGACAATACACAAGTAAAAAAAATTTGGAGTTACCAGTTACCCTGGTAAC